GGGGGGGGGGGGGGGGGGGGGGGGGCACAAATAGTCGCAGGACGAGCTCATAGCGCGGCAGAGCGGGCGGAGCGGATCTGAGCGACGGGACATCGAGCCCAGCGCCGCATTGATCAAGGGCTGGTGACTGAGACGGTTGCGACAGCTGCGCAAAAACGTCAGAGGAATGAGCGACCATCACGTCGAGGGTACGACGTAATCGGCCCGGCGGAGCAGGAGCTTGCGGACGGGCGGGCTGACTGACCTGGGTGAGAATCGGTGACCGCGGCGAGGGCATCCGCGGGCTGACAGCTTAGATTGTCGGGAACAGTGAGCACGCTTGCGAGAGGCCCGGTGCATCGAGCGCAGCTTGACAGGAGGGACCGACGGCGGTGCGCTGTGAATGCAAAGATGTCGGCGGGATCGAGGTAGGACAAGGTTGTGGACAGGCAGGGCCTCACGGGATGGGTGAGGAGTACGTCATTTTGCCAGAGGCCAAGTCAGGCAAAGGGAGCTAGAGATGCTGATGGGGGCCGGATGGAACAAGGGTCCAACACGGGCGTGTGGATCGAGCCCTGGTCGCTTCAGATCGGGTGGGCAGGGACCCGGTCCAGGGCGAGGCTGGATTTGGCCGGTCCAGCTTCGATCTACAAAGAATCACAGCTGTGGTTCGAAAGTGCACCGACGGTTCGTGGCTCTCGCCGCCGTCAAGCTCTCGCAGGTGCTCACGCCGTGCTGGCCGTCATTGTAATTGTTCGACATCATCATGACCGCAGCGGAGAAAAAACATGCGCGGAAAACTACTGACGTGAGCACTGCCGGATGACGGTGACAACGCAGCATTTTCTTGAAATTAAATAATAAGTGAATAAAAATCAAAAAGGTAGGATCGACCTCCACCTGTCGCTGCAGGTGCTTTGTACGACCCTACACAAGATCCTGCGTCATGATGGCCTGCCGACGCTAGACGGCACCGCATAACTGCGCCGCTCACGGACTCGCACGCGACGATTCGGCACGCTTGCCGAAACCAAAGCTCGGGGTGGCTTGCCTCCAGATCTCGAGCTCTGCGCTACGCCTTGGTCGTACAGATCGGAGCTCTGCCTGGTCTGCATCCGAGCTCTTGTCGTTCTTCGGGGCAGATCAAGCGTCCCAGTGTTCGCTCGACGCAGTCTCAGCATGCAGCGACATCATGCTTCCATGCGGGCTGGCACATACTGACAGCCAGCACGAGTGTTTCGAACGGTAAGCAGACAGCACAAGTTGGCTTACTCGCAGGTCCCGCCGATCAGGGAGACACAGGCGAACCAGCTGCAGAGTTGTTCGTGTATTCGTCCAAGCTTTTCGGTGAGTTTCTACGGCGGAGATGCGAATCAGCGGTTGCTCGAGCGTCCAGCGGCCGGCGAGTCGGAGTTTTGGCCGGGCTTTTCCTGCTGCAGGCCGACCTTATTAATAAATGCAGGGGAGTTGCTACGGTAGCACCCTTGTGGTGAAAGAGCTTTCCATCGCTTCGAAGCATCTGCGAGGCTTGCCTGATTCGGCTGTTTTGCCAACTTGGAATGCCTCGATACGTCTCGCTTCGGCGCATGCCCTGCATCCCATCTATCTTCTCTGCGCAGCCGAGCCAGCCGATGGAGCGTCGGTTGGGCACAAGTCGCGGCCTAAGCAACGGAGTTGGAAAATTCATACGAAAAAGAGTCGGCTGACCCACCCATGCCCGTCGACCGTCGTATCGGCTTGAAGTTGGTCACAATCGCAAACGCCTCATGCAGCTCCATGCACGCTCAGTCACTATTCATCCGTTATGAGCTGCCACACGCAATGCACTTCCGCCTCGAGCGTCATCGCCACCGGGATTTCTCATTCGCCGTCTTAAGTCCGCGATCCATCCACCGAGCGTTACACTTCGCCTCGTGTTCAAGAGCTTCTTGGCTCAGAGAGGAGGAGCAAAATATATGAGATTCGACGAGAGAGAAGAATGGCTTGGTCTGCGAATCCAGGTGCAGTTGCTGGAAGGGCTTCGTGCGGCTGCTTGCAGCATAGCCGCATACGTGCAGATTTTCGCCTTTTTGGACAGCAGCTCCAGGCGCCACGCGAACGACGTCATCGCTCGCAGTGCAACACGCCCATTCCTCGACTCACGTAAGCGCGTCCCACATTTTTTCCCCACTTCGCATCCATGCATCGCGACCCTCGATCCCGGCTGTCTCGCAAGCCTTCGCGATACAGACCTGCGCCTGTCACCGAAATCCACGCGATTGCCCCGGCCGCACCTGTCAAAGAAGCCAGTCCCGCGATCGGGCTCGCACAACCCGAGCCAGTGATCGGGGCTATCGGGCCGTGCACATTTGGATTCGATGTTCACTTGCTCTCAAATTCGAGTCTTGGAATTGTAGGGATTCCTCGCTCGTTCGGTCCCACAGAATGTGGCCGCTCCTCTAGTTTGCGGAATGGCTTGATTTCTTTGCAAAGTGGACACGTTCATGAGCTGCGTCTTTGCGCAGCTCCGTCAGATTACTGCATTTCAAGGCTTGGCGTGTGATTGAAGAGCTCTGCAGGGTTCGGAAGCAAGCCTAGTCGAGGCCGGTTGCGAAGCTTAATTTATTGGCAAAATAGCCGCGGTGGCTGGAACGTCGGCCGAATTGGTGGAAGCGGAACCTCTGGCGGGATTGGCGTTGGCCACCACACTGGCAGCTGAGGACTAAGCGAACAAGCTGTCGTGAGCTTCCGCCTTTGGGAGGCATCGTAATAAAGGCCACGGAAAACGGACCGAGTCTGCGGCGTCATGATGAGCAGCTAATGACAATAGCAGAGCATTGAGGGATACCGCCTTGCCGACACGCGGCTTTTACGCCTTCCATACAGGCGCCTGGATCACATCACTGTCCAGCTTGCTTGACGACTTCTCCATTGGGAGGGTATCGCTCGTGGTGCGACTCAAATACAAGAGCTTGCCGCGGTCGAGCGCGGAACCTTAAGGTCTCTCAGCTTTGCCGTCTACTGACGGACTCTTTAGCAATCGCTTGGCAGTCGAATGCTAGCTCCGCAACTCCTCCCATTCATTGATCAATCCAGTGACATACTCTCCGTCGCAGGTCGGAGGTACAGTAAGTTATCGAATAAGTTCATGGGCAGTCAATTGCTCTAAGTGGGCTTGAATTTCAGCATCTTCGGACCCACCAGTCCAAGTCCACACGCATCGGCACGGAACCCTGATTTTATTATCCCAATCTTGTCGACCGCGTATCGCGCGGAGATGCAATGCAGATGCAGCACATGCCTTCGGCTTCCGGAGGAGTGGGCCTCGACCTGCAGGAGAAGAGACAGATGCTGGCGATCAAACACAAAAGCCAGTGCGGATGGTCAATGTGGCAAAAGTTGCCGCAATCTGCAAGTCCGCACCTTTTCCCTTCGTCCGTCTGTTTGCTCCTCGAAGGTAAAGGACGGACAAGACAGACACACTCCGTGCGCCCTTCACCCTCTGACTGCCGCTCAGGACGAAGATAAGCACTGACGCAGCGCTATCTGATAGGCAGCGCTGACCTTCACGATCTCTTCTCGAACAGAACACAGCACGAAGACTGCTCGAGCCCGAGCTATTTCCCAAACAGTCGGCAATTCCCACGACGAATCGGAGAACACGATGGTCGAAATCAGGATAGACAGGGGAGAAGATCGAGGAGAGGTTAGCGATCAAGCTGGGTCTAGTCGTGGACATCGCCGAAGTCGCGAGGAGGATGACGCAGGCGAGACGCCGGCACGCGCCAAAAAAAACGAAGGACCGCTATCGCGGAGGCGGGAGAACTGCCAACATCTGCTGGTTCGCCATTGGCGAGACGAAGGATGTACCTTGTGCGTTAGTCAAGGCATCAAATGTGTTCCGCCGAAGGCGGACTCTGAGCAAGAGAAATGCAACGATTGCGCGAAGCGCTCCAACGAATGTAGCAATCGTTGGATGACCAAGCAAGTGAACGTCACCAAGACGGAGCATCTGCTGATGGGCGAGTCGCCCTTGGAGATCGACGAAGAATGTGATGAAGCCGAGATCAAAACTTCCGGCAAGTATCTAGGAGGCCCCTCTGATAAGTGTCAGAAGTATCCTGCACCTTTGCCGTCGCCTCGGCCCCGCCCTTCCACATCCTCCCATCAAGCAGTCCTTCCTTCTCGCCCCAACGATCTCGTCCCGAAGCAACTCGTCCTCAAGGAGAGGCTCCTCAACAACCTCCTTCTGTGTCTCCATCGCATTCGCCAGCTCCTGGCCCTGGTCCTTCAACGACACCATCGGCTCCTGCGCCATCGACGGAGGCGTCCGCGCTTTCCCATAGCGAGCGCGAAGAACTTCAGTGATATCGGGAGCTGTATGCGGAAAGCTTCCTCGTCGACCCGACGCCTCGTGAGACGCGATCTGGGACGGGACGACATCGTCCTATTTAGATGCAGCTATTCAGCCAGAATTGGACCGTCGTTCGGCGCACAAAGGTGACTCCTTTGTCCTTTCCATTGCCTTCTCGAATCATACAAGCCTTCGCAACCAGGAGCCAGAAGGGTCGACTGAGGTTGAGCTTTGTGCTGGCTGTTTTCACACAATGATGTAAAGGAACACTTTCTTTCGAATGCTGTAACTATGAACATGATGTTGGTACAGATGATGCGACGATACTTCAGGCAGCCGCGCCGATCGGGTTCGGAAGCGCAAGACGAATCTCGGGCGTTCCCGTTCCCGAAGAGACCGGTCGGCCAACGACGAGCTTGGACGATGGCGTCTTGAGAGTGTCGACCTCTCCGTGCAGCGCTGATCCGCCGATGAATGCCATGGTCATCTCGAACGACGCCTTGAGCAGAGTCGACGACGACTCGGCGATACCGGACCTGTTGAACGGCCTGAAGCCACCGGCAGCCGTCTGGTAGTCGGCGATGAGGAACAGGTGACGCGGCGACACGGCGATACCGTACGTGTCGAAGATGCCCCGCATCTCGGCCACGATGGCGGCGCGCGCCGCCTCCACGCCGTACGTGTGGAGCACGGCACCAATGTCGTTGGTGTACAGGTTGTCCAGGTCCACCACGCCAAAGCCAAAGTTCCACAGGTCGCGGAAGTTGATACCTTCGGCCGTAAGCGAGACACCGTCCTCTCCCGCCTTCGGAGGCGGCTTCATGACACGCGAGATGTTGGGGATCTCGTGGATGACACTCTGTCGGCAGACACGCTCCACAATGTTGATGAGCAGCAGCTTCTGCGACTGCGCAGCGAGCGTAAGGTCGAACTCGGCCCATCGCGCCTTGACCTCGTCGAAACGGAAGGCGTTGATGTACTTGGAGTTCTGCTGGAGCGCCTTTTCGAGCGCAGACGTCTGCTCGGCCCAGTCCTCGTTGACCGAGCCGTCCGAGGACTCCGAGTCGCTGCTGTCGCTGTCGACATCCATCGCGTTGGGCGACTTCTTGCTGCTCTCGCCCGAGAAGGCAGCTTCGATGTCCTCCATGGTGGAAGGGACATTGTCCATCACCTCGTCGTCGCCCTCTTCGTACGAGGCATGCGCAGCCGAGCGCTGCTTCCTCTTGGCTTCGTCGGCGTCGCCGTCACCCACCTCAGAAGAGGCGTCCTCCTCATCGTCCGAGTCGGCATCGTTGCCTCTCGAGCGAGGCTGGGCAGCATTGGCGCGCTCCTCGCCGTCGTCGTCGGCATTGTTGCCCGCCGCAGCGTTGTCCGAGAACGTTCGGCCTCGGCCGATGGCGGCCGCTTGCACGGCGTGCTCACGCCTCTGCTTGCGCATCTCGTTGTTGATGTTGTTTTCCAGGTTCGGAGCAAAGGTCTCCTGCAGTCCGTGCAGGATGTGCTGGGTGGAGCAGTTGTACTCTTCCTTGCACTCGTCGGCCGGGTAGAAGTTGAGGCGCACCGTGTACGTCTTCTGGCGGTGGAAGCCGGTCTGCGAGGACTTGGGCGAAATCTTTTCGGTGACGATGGCCTCGTCGATCACCTGGCTCAGCACGAGGCGGCTGCCGTCCTTGCAGAACGTCTTGATCTGGTCCTCGGTGATGCCCTCGAGGACAGGGAGGCGCATGATGGGCGTCTTGATGTTCTGCGACGCGGTCATGACAATCTCTCGCAGACGCGGGATACCGAGCGTCACGTTGGCGGCACCGTGTCCGGCAAAGTGGAACGTGTTGAGCGTCATCTGCGTCGAGGGCTCACCGACACCCTGGGCTGCAAGCAGACCGACAGCCTCACCGGGGTCGACGAGACCGCGGTGGTAGAGCACCTTGCACATGGCACGGAAGGCTTCGACACCGAGCTTCTCCTTGGCGAAGCGCAGCTTCTCGGCCACCTTGCCGTCGTCGTTGCCATCGGCATCGCCAGTAGCCTCGGACTTGCGCTTCTTGCTCTTCTTCTTCTTGTCGGCCAGGAGCTTGCTCGGATTCTTCTCGATGTACGCCTCGATCTCCTTGGCGTACTTCTCCGACATGGATCCAAAGTGCGTGGAGGGGTTGTACATGCTGAGCACAGGCTCGTACTTGTGCGGCTTCTTGAGCGCCTTCTTCATGTGCTCGGCGGCGAGCTCGGCCTCGACGACCTCTCCGAGCTGCTTGGGATCGTAGCGCTTGTTGTAGTTCTCGAAGTTGGCGGCGGTGAAGTCGAACTGGCCGAGGTACTTGCTCTTGGTGGTGTCGAGCGCGTCTTCACCGTAGGCGAACTGGAGGATGGAGCCGTCGGCGTTGCGCACCGTGTTGTCGTACTGGATGTGTACGCCCTCGAGATGCTTGATCAGACATCGCTGCAGGTAACCGGAACGCGACGTCTTGACAGCCGTGTCGATAAGACCTTCACGACCAGCCATGCAGTGGAAGAAGTACTCTTGCGGGCGGATGCCTGTCAGGAAACGGCCGCTGACGAATCCACCGGCTCGCGTGGAAGTCTCGAAGGGGCGGAAGGAGGGCAACGACTTGCCGCTGACCATGAGCGGAACACGTCGACCTTCGAGAGCCTGCTGACCGAGCAGACACGAGATCTGCGAGACGTTGACGGCCGAACCCTTGGCACCGGAGCCGGTCATCATCTGCATGTTGTTCTCGGGGAACTTCCTGTACAGGCCGCTGGGCAGGCACGACTCGATGATCTTGGACGTGAGAGCGTTGGAAGAGTTCATCATCTCACCGTCAAGGACGGCGAGCTTGTCGTCGTCACGCAATACCTCCTCGAGACGGATGCGCAGATTCCTGTCGGTGTCCGGGTTGTTCTCGTCCTCGCCCTCGAGACCGACGGTCTTCATGGCGACGCCCTTGCCTTCACCCTTGGCGGCGTTGAGCGCCTTGCGCCTGACCTCGTCACCCTCCTTGCTCAGCAGCAGATCGTCCATTCGACACGAGAACGCATTCGACTGGAGGAACTTGGTGAAGAGACGCGAGAGGACACTGAGGAGCTTGCCGGCCGTCTCGGATCCGTAGATCTCAAAGATGGCATGGACGAGACCGTATGCGGAGGCACCGAAAGCGGCCTTGTCGAGCACGCCCTGCAGGAGCTCTCCGTCCTCGATGACGACCTTCTCCTCGCTCGCGTGGTCCTTGCCCCACAAGCGACCCGCCACCTTGGCCTTGGAGGTGAGGTTGAGGCCGTCTGCCTTGGCGGGCTTGAGGTTGAGGAGCACAGTCGAGATGATCTGCTTACCAGTCCAGAGAGGCTCGGGCTTGAGCAACGCGGGCGGAACGGTGAGCACGCGGCCGCCTCCCGTGTACTTGCCCTCGGGACGCAGAGCACCGTAAAGCATCTGCTGGTACTCTGCTCGCGTGTAGAGGGTGTTCTTGGAGGTCATCCACACACCGGCGACGACGTGGTCCTGGATGAGACCACGCAGCGGATTACCGCTGGTGGGCGTGAGGTACTGGTTGTCGGTGTTGGCGACGTAGTAGCACTCTGCACGGGCAGCCTGCGACTGCGGGAAGTGCATGTTCATCTCGTCACCGTCGAAATCGGCGTT